TTTTTTTTTTTTTTGGTACCAGGGATCGAACTCGGGACCTTGTGCTTGTGAGGCAGGCACCAGAACCACTGAGCTAAATCCCCGGCCCTAATTAAATAAATTTTTAAAAAGTCGGTCAATTATGTTTTGAAATGTTCATAGAAAAGAACCTCAAAGGGAAGACCAAAATCAGTTACTCTTTCTAGGTGGTATAATTGAATAATTTTTTTTTTTTGTCTACCTGAACTTTTCAAAATTTCTCTTACGCATATATTACTTTTGCAGTCTAAGAGAAAAAGAATCTGAACTGTTGTAAAAGAAGAAATAATCATGCTTACAGCATGAGGTCTTTCACAATAGGAGATGAAAATATATCTAGAAAACATGATTATAGGGGTAATGTTTTTTTCCACATTTGTGTTTTGTTACAGATATGCTAGTCTGTATTTTTGCTGTGCTATTGAGGATCAGGACAATGAACTAATTACCCTGGAAATAATTCATCGTTACGTGGAATTACTTGACAAGTATTTTGGCAGTGTGAGTAGTTATTTTATTTTAAGAAATTGAATGTTGTATGTAGCATTTTTAATTTTTTAAAATCTTTTCCCTAACAAGTTGATTATTTGGTTGTCTTGGGGATTCTAAACTATAGGGAGAAGGCAGAAATGAGTCTTTCTTGTCAATGTTTCTAGTCAGTTAACTTCAAGAATTACTGGCCTTACAGACTTAACTCATTTAATTATGACAGTACGAATGAGTTTTAAAATAATAAAATAGAAAATAATCTGACTGCAGACATTAATATTTTGGAAGTACTTAGTATAGAATTCAGATATGGTTAGCAGTTTAATCATATTAAGTTACCCACATTGGGAGTATACAGGGCCAGATCTTATTTATTTTGTAGGCATTGTGTTGTCAAGTACTTGAGTTTTTTTGTTTGTTTGTTTGTTTTTTGTTGTTTTTTGGGGGGGTACCGGGGATCGAACTTGTGACCTTGCACTTGCGAGGCAGGCACCGGAACCACTGAGCTAAATCCCCAGCCCAAGTACTTGAGTTTTAAAAATGAAACTTATTTTAAATCAATGGTGCTTAGCGTGATTACCATTTTTAGAAAGAATTAATATTGATATATTCTGGTCAGATTTTATTTACTGATGGTAAGTAAGCATCTTTGGCTTTCACAGTTGTTTTTGTATTTTGCTCTTCAGGTGTGTGAACTTGATATCATCTTTAATTTTGAGAAGGCCTATTTTATTTTGGATGAATTTCTTTTGGGAGGGGAAGTTCAGGAAACATCCAAGAAAAATGTCCTTAAAGCAATTGAACAGGCCGATCTCCTGCAGGAGGTAAGCTGCTTGTTCTCTGGATGAGGTACTAGCATGTTTTGCTCTTGCTAGGGAAATCTCAGCCATCATTCTTACAGTTTGAGAACTCACTCTAGAGCATGCTTGGCATGTAGTGTTCATGTGCAGTTTACTGATTGGAATATGTGTCGGTCATGTCAACTCAGTTACCTATGGATGGGTGATTCACTTTGGAAATGATCTGTTGTTTAGGCCTATTCTTGATGGCCCATTTTGGGACCCTAAAATACTGGGGTCTAAGCTGTCAGAAGACAGACTAAGAGAAAAGATTGGCCAAGAGTAAAGTTGTTAAGTTGAAAATTCTCCATTTTTTTTTAATTACTCAAGATAATCTTTTTTCATTAGTGTGGATAATTAGGAGTTGACTGAGATTATGGCATTTTCATTCCAAATTGGTTCATATTTTCACCTCATGTTCATTAAGTAAATACAAATGTAGCCGAGCAAATATTAGAGTTTTCTAATTATACTTTTTGTAGAACCCTCTAGTTTTGTGTTAACAAAACTAAAAAGTATTTGTGCTTCTCCTTGCTCTTCTTAAATAACAAACCATGTTCTATCAAAGCTACTATGTTCTTATCTTCCTTCCATATCCCAGAACCCTAACAAGCCGCTTTCCTTTCTAGTAACCACAGTCATGCTGGCCTGAGTGTGGATTTGATGCTTATGCACTTTGTTTCTGAAGTTTAAAATTTCATAGATCAAGCTACCTTTTTCTGTGATACCTTAATTCAGATATTTAATTGAATTGTACTTTTAAGTTAATTGTGGCTTTAAAGCATGTGAAGAGGCTAGTAAATATAAAAAATGCACTGTGTTTTCATTAAGGTAGTTGTTAAATGTGTATATGTTTATATGTAAAATATCTTGAATATTTCTGACCTGCAGGTGTATTTTCCAGATGCATTAAAAGTACGGTTTTGTATTTTCAGCTTATTTTAGCCCCTTCTTGAGCATTACATATTTGTTTGTCTCTTGTCTTTTTTGATTATTAAAGGAGACTCTAATCTCAATTTTTATTGTTACAGAAATGGCACACTTTTAGGGAATGAAGTAAAGAGGGGAGAGGAACACTATTTTTCCATTACAGTGTCTTTGCTGTTGGCCTCTGTGAGGAACTAGGGAATCTCACTGCATCAGTCAGATGTGGGGGTTGCTGGAAGTTGAGATGACATCATATGGGTATATGACTGTTAGATGTACAGACGGCACCTTGTGCAGTAGTGATCTTACAGTTATGAAGAGTGCTTTAGTTGCCTGCATAGTGAAGTAGTTCATTGGCAGCCCTCATACCATCTGCTGCTCAATAGTGAAATGAATACAGACCCCTTTCCTTCTGTGTAGTTTTCCATGGTATTTTATTCACTGATTGCAAACATTTCACTTTGGACACTTATTTTTAACATCAGGTGTGTTAACTACAAACTCATATTCCACTGTCGCAAAATTGGTTTTAACGTTAACACTCCCTTATTTTGCTATTGACTAATCAAACTTTTTAAAAAGTAGGTCAAAACCAAGATTAGGAATTGAGAATTTTTCATATTTGTCTCTTGCCTTGATCACTTTTGTATTTGTTATTGTGGAACCATACTCCATTCCATTAGAACTTGATATTTCTTCCAAGTTTTTAATCATTTCCTGATTAATTACATTTGCTTTACAACATTTTTAAAGTTATTGAAGTTCCACTTTTACTTTTAATGTTTTTCCTAGAGAGTAAGTTTAAGGCATTGATATTTCCCTGCCTTTAAAGGCTACTGGGAAATTGCTATATACAATGTAATGTGACAGTGACACTAGGTTCACCTGATCACAGGCTTTGAGTATTGAATATACTCGAGAATAAAAACATAAGAGGAAATTTATTTCCTAAGGCAAATTCCATCTGTGACTTCTTAGGCTAAGGATCTTCATTGCCCACATTATCCATAGTTAGAATTTTTTACTGGATGTATAGATCTGTAATAGCTTTGTGAGACTTATAGTTTGGGGTGTAGTATTTATTCACTTAGTCAATGTCGTGAAATGATTTTTCTTCAAAAGTTGTTACTATAGCTGGAAAGATGCCTACAGCTTGAAATTTTGTACTAGAAGCACTAACTACTTGATTTTTCTTTTTTGGTACCGACGATCGAACTCGGGTCCTTGCGCTTACAAGGCAAGCAATGGAACCACTGAGCTAAATCCTCGGCCCCAACTACTTGATTTTAATGTAATTTTTCATGGATTTTGATTTTTCTATGTAGTATCGGGTATTCTATTTTTATTATTTCTAAGTGCTAAAGAAAACTTTAAACTTACAGTGAATTTACATCTGTTGGCTTAAAGATATATGCAAAGCACAGAATTATTTTGTTTTTAATTCTTTAATTTGTGAAATACACATTTCTATCCTTAAGAATGTTTATTGAGAAAAATTTCCTACAGTTTTCCCTTTTACCTAATTTGTATAAGTATTACATAATTTAGGGTAGTCTTTAATTTTATAGGCAAATGGAGCAGATAGTCTGGCTAAAGTAGATTTTCTGTTAGCATATTACAGTTACATAGTTATAAGAATATAACATAAATGTGTATTTGAATAATTGTTAAACTATCAGTAGACATTGTGATTAAATTCTGGTCTTTTTCATTGTGCTTAATTACTTGGTAAATATGGGATCATTTTTGGCATTTATAGACTGAACTCTGTTTACTATTCCTTTTAGTATTTTGATTATATGACTACATAATTAGATTTGTGGGGAAAGCCCGGAAATTGGCCCATTATCCAACTTTTTTGTTGTTGTTACCAGGGATCGAACTCAGGTCCTTGCGCTTGCACAGCAGGTGGCGAAACCACTGAGCTAAATCCTCTGCCCTCCATTATCCAACTTTTAATATTTAATGGTTGATATTTAAAACATCATCTTAACATGCCACTGGTACTAAAGGTTGACTCTTAAATTTTAAGGTATAATGTGCTGGGATTACTAAATTGATATTCTTTGCAGTGCTTGGAATACCCTCCCCATGCATATACTTTAAGATAGATTGAGGAAGTGGTAGGGGGAGATGATGCAATGCACTAGGATTTATTATATAAATACACACATAATGACAAAGGAAATAATAGCATGGCTTTTTTTCTGTAAAGTCAGACACTTACCAGTGTTTCTCTGCTCCTTAATTTTATAGAGCCAGAATGAAGAATGGGGAGGTTTGTCTGAGGATATCTTATGATAAAGAGCAGTCTAAGGCTTTAGTCCCTTTGACCCCCAACTTATTTATTGGTAACTAAATTTACCATTTTTGTGGCATGGGTAAAATGGGGTGCTATGCAAAGACTGTTGCACGTGAGATGATTTCAAATCTTTGCTTGATCTGTGAAGATCAAATAGTTAAATACTGGGTGTTGGGCTTTAACCTTCAGGGGTAGATGCATGAATGTATTGATCAGCGCTTTGAGATGTGTCAACCTTTCTTTTTTTATACTAACAGCATCATTTTGAAATTTGTGGGTTTTGTTTTTTTGTTTTTTTAGCTTTGTTTGCTGTTGGTATTGTTCTCACTGAGGTAATCTGCAAACTGGAAAATAAGTGAGGTACCAAAAGCAAGCATAATACTCATGAATTTGCTTCTACTTCAAGATGATCCACTTTATGAGTAGATTTACTGGGTTTGCAGATGTTTATCTGCCTTGTCTACAACATGGTGCTCTGTGGAGAATTACTATGGCTAAAATTGATTTGTTTTAATGCTGGGGGCTGCATGATATATCTTAGTACTATATTATATCTTTGTGAGAGTAATTAATAAATCGTTGGGACTGCATAAAAATGGAAAGGTAAGAATCTTAGGAGAAAAAGTGATTTAAAAAAATGAAGCTCTGTAACTCAAAATTATTTTAATAAATACTTCTTGAAGTATTTAATAACATGGTTTTTAATATGAAGATTTGAGTTTCTTAAAAATTAAAACCTTGCTACAGAATATTTGAGCATGCTAGTCATACTCAAGAATATCTGAAATTGTTTTAAAAGAGTTAGATGCTTTCAAGTATATATAATGTCATGTAAAAGCAAAAAGCACTTTGATATAAATCCTCTTAGAGATTTACTTTAATAAGACAAACTCCTGTAATTCCTTTGTAATTACTACTGTTTGTGTTAAAAATCTTTAAGCCTAAACCTATTTCTTTTAAATTGGGTTAAAAGTTGACAAGGCTATCGTCTTTTATGTCAGCATATTTTAATTTTCATAGGTAAACTTAATTGAGGTCTGCTAGAACGAATTCTGGATAAATGAGGTTAGGTTACTTTCATGCTTAGAAAAAACAGTGCAGAAGGGGACAGATACTGAGGGCAGAAAAATCTTGCTTTTTACTTTACTTTTAGTAAGAAACAATTTATCTGGTGTCCTCAGTCACTGGTTTTCAGGTTGTAATCATTTTGCTCTATATTTGTGTATTTTAGCTCTTTTCCTTTGTCTACTTTTTAGAATTTTAGGAATTTTTCTCACCTGCTGTTTCCTAGCTCATTGTAAACCAACTCTTACTCTGGGCTATTTGTAATGATGAAAAGTTGGAATAATTTAAAATACCCAGTACCTGTAGATTTGATCTTTAAAATTTTTTTATATCACAGTGGTATTACAAACTAGAAAAAAATTGACTAATACCCTAATTTTTTGTTTTGCAATCTGATATTTTCCATTCTATTCTACTTTTCTCTTTTAAAATGGCAATCTTCACCTACTAAATTGATTTCATGAGCCCTACGGTTGGGTGCAAAAAGCATACCCCAAGATGTCAGCAGTACTTTAATTTTTTCGTTAAGCAGTACTTTCGGGAAAAATTTCAGGTTTGAGTTTTTTTTCCCTACTGACATTGTCATTTCTTTTGTTTCCTGTGTTGCATTTTTTAAAAAGATAAATTCCCATTATAAAATTAGCAAATACAGGCAAGCACATTTTAATATATTCTTATCCACCAACCAGAGCCAGTTTGATTAACTCGGTGGTTCTCATGAGTTGACTTGGGCCCTCCCAGGGTACACTGGGCTATGGCTGGGACCATTTTTGGTTATCACACAAGGAGTCCATTGTAGCTAAATATACTACAGTGCACAAGACAGCTCTTCCTCACGTTCTAAAGAGGAATTGTACAGCCCCAAATGTCAGTTGTGTACAGGTTAAGAAACTGATCTAAGACTATGGAATGAAAATTCCATTTATATGTAAAACTGCTATATCTTTTCAATATTATATGTGGTCTATCATATAAATAACTGGCTGAAAATTAATAAAAATCCAAAAGGAAAGGGGAGTAAAAACCTTAAAAATTGTGAAAAAATGACTTATGTGCTAAAGAAGTCATAAATCGCTATAAAAATCATCCCAGTGATTCACCCAAATTGTCTTTACTTGATAACCAGTGACTGGAACAATAATCTATGGTTGACTTTAGAACCTAATCCACAGCAAAGCTTGTGAGATGGCACTGCATAACCTAATTTCCTCAACAACCAAATCTGGTCACTTCTATTAAGGTAATTGAGTTTTTATGCAGAAACAGAATTGAGTCTACTCCTCAGGCAGGCAGAATACTCGTGAACTTTCTGCTGATTTCCCTGCCTACCTTAGAGATTTGATCATTTCTTAAAGGAGGAATTGATTAAATGATCAGAATTTGCACAGACTTTCCCTTTGTTGCATAGGCAGACTTTTTGTTATTGTTCTTTTACATTCTATTAGCCTTAAAAATTTTACTGAGTAAAAATAGTTCTGAGTGTTTGAAATTTTGATTCCAAGAAATCTTTATGTTTGGAAAACCTGATTAAATTTAGGGTATTTCAAGGCAAATACAAGTACCCTAGAATAAGTTTAAATTGTTTGTTTACACAGCACAATTAATTGCCAGAAAATGTAATTTGTCCTTCATATTTTATAATAAATTATATGGCAGCATTTATAAGGTGTAGTAAAGTTAATCCCATCATTATTTTAAGGCAGATATAATAGAAATAGATCCATAGCACAACAAAAAAAGACAGCAGAAGACATGAATAAGTACTGTAGTTCACAATATGAAAGAAAAAAAATGATCCTTTTATTAAGGAAATATAAATCCAAGTATCAGCTAAACATTTTGTTTATTTCTTCTCGGACTGGCAAAGATGAGAGACACTCTTGTTCCTGCTTGTAACCACTTGTATTTTGCTTTAGGGGGCTAGTATGACAATATCTATTAACAAATGTGTGCTTTACCTTTTGTCCCATTCGTTACACTTCCAAGGACTTTATCCAACAGAAATGTACAGAAGTATCAAGACATATACTCAGTATAATTTTAAGCCATTGGAACTTACCCAAATGTCCATCAGTAGGGAATCGGTTAAAAATTATAGCACAGTCATACGTGCAACTGTTAACATAGCTGTAAAATAAATGAGATTGATTTTCTGTTTAATGATTTGGAAGGATACTCAAGGTGTATTGAATGAGAAAAGATGTAATAGCAGCATACTAACTTAACTATAACCTCCAAAAATGTTTGAAGTCTCACTCCCCTTTTATTAGAAGTATAAAAACAATCATGTATTTAGGATTATAAATTTTTTAAAAATGGAAAAATGCTGCTGTCTGAATGAAAAAGTATATATTGTATTGCACCAGATGGTAAAACTAGAGTAGAATTTACTAAAATAAAGTTTCAGCACATGGAGTAAAGCACTTGTCTACTCTTGGCCATTTTAGACACTAACCATCTGGAGCAAACATATATACCTCTTGTCATTCACTGCTAAATGTTAAAAAAAAATTACTAGATTTTCTGAGTAGGGCCGGGGATTTAGCTCAGTGGTTCTGGCACTTGCCTCGCAAGCCCAAGGACCAGAGTTCAATCCCCGGTACCTAAATAAATAAATAAATAAACAAACAAAAAACATCACTTCTCCGACTTTTGGCTAAGGTCAAGTGTAGATGAGTAATTCACAGATGCTCCTGAAATAAGACTGACACTATGAGCCCCATTATCTAAAAGTAATTCCAATTCTTTTATTAATTCCTTGCTCAAGTAGATACTAGTGAGACAGGATATTCTCTGGCCTTTTTGGGCTTTGATCCAAAGAACTGGGTTCCAGGGCCAGGGATTTAGCTCAGGGGTTCCGCCACCTGGCCCGCAAGCTCAAGGACCTGAGTTGGATCCCCGGTACCAAAAAAAACCACAAAGAACTGGGTTCCAGAGTTGAAAATATGGACTTTGCATATTTTGCCACAGAAGTCAATTAGAGGCAATAAAAATGACCATTGTGTTCTAGAATATGAAGGACAAAGGATACTACTTTAAGCAAAGGAATAAGTGAAGGAAGCTCTTTTACAAAACAGCAATAAAAAAGCAGTAGAGCAGTAACTTGAAATTACACTTGTCTATATTTACTTTTCATTAAATGAAAATTATTTTTAATCAGTGTACTAGAATCCGGAGACTAGGCATTCAGTCTTGGATTATACAGTACCATTAATTCACTTAAGCACTTCTCATTTCAATAAAACTTAAGCCTACAGATAATTGCTAGCTTACCGATGTTCATTATAGTTTCCAGGTTGATTTTACTTGTGAGTCATAAGCCTAATATGGTAACCATCTAGGAAATTTTATGGTAATGGGGTTTGTCTTTTCCTAGAAAGGTAGGTGGTTTTGAGAACAGGTGTAACTTGATTCTTCTCTGCTGTGTTTGTCATCCTGTACTTCCCATTACATCTGGTCCTTTTTGTAGGGGATTGAGATCAAAATTATTTTTGGTACAGAGGAAAGTTGAAGATGTATATATACTAAGAAGGAGCTGATGGAGATACTGATGAAAAATAAGAAAAAGGAAAAAGTATACTGTATTGGGAGGGAGAATGGGAATGGAATCAAAAGCACTGATTTTGGGGAGTCTCCTTTGTTATCAGGCAATAATGGAGTAAAGCTATAGATTTTTTTTTCTACATGGGTTAGATGAGCAAAATTGAGGAAATTGTAACTGTCTTGACCTTGAGAAATGATGTCATCTAGAAGGCCACTGGGGGACTGGGGAGGAGAAAGGCAGATAACAAGGAGAGTGTGTAGTGAGGCAGCAAATTGGTGATGGGCAAAAGGATTGCCCAGGTGGGCCGGGGATTTAGCTCAGTGGTTCCGCTGCCTGCCTGGCAAGTGCAAGGTCCTGAGTTCAATCCCCGGTACCAAAAAAAAAAAAAAAAAAGGATTGCCCAGGATTGAAGACCCATTTCAGGTTGAAAAGGATAATTTTATAATCTTTATTTAAAAAATAGACCTCTAAAGAGTCTGTACTAAGGGAAACTTGTGGCTTCTATTTGTGTGATATGATTGGAGTTAAATTTTTTTTCTCACTACCATTCTGGCCTTTATTCCCACTTAATTTAAATCACTAGCATTTTAGTATATTAAGAAACTCAGAGTTTGCTGAGTAGTCTGTATGGCTGTTTCCAAAGGTATTTGTGGGAGAAGTAAGATAGCAGGCCTAGCCCTGCACAGGATCCTTTGTGTGCTATGACAGACTTTACTGTCACCCTCCCCAGTTATTAATAGAATTCTTCTGTAACTCAAAAGATATATTGGTAGGATGACATCACAGAATACTGGAGCTTATATTGAATCTCCTATTTTTTTTTGTATATGAGAAAAAATTATTGGTTAATTGTGAGCATACCTGTATCATTTAGCTAAATATTAGTGGTCATTAAGGCATTTATTTATAGTGGAACTTTTTCAGAACCCAGCCGTCTGAACTGGGAAATTATTTTAAACACATTACAGCAACTTAAAAGTGGTAAAAGAATACTATGTATGCCACTATTATTTATTTTTGTGTATTTGGAGTTTATTTTCTTCTTAAAAGATATTTTTCCAATGAAGAGGGGTTTCTCCCAATGAAAAGTATTCTTCACAATTAATGGATGCTAATCACTTGTTTAAGAACAGTAATATGGATCATTGGCTGTAAAGAATAGTTTGGCTTGTCATCAACCCTTTCCTTTCATAAAGGTAGTAAAAGATCTGTCAGATAATGAGTGGTAGGAATGCTTGGAGTGGTCACATTTCAGAATTGTTCCTGTAGAATTTTTGTTCTGATTCCTAAATCTTATCTGGGAAAGAATGACTACATATTCAGCCCTGTTTGGGAAACTACCTTTCTCTTAATGGCTTAAAACTGCACAGTTTGTTTTTACTTGATATGATGTGAAATTAAGAGAGAAAACAAAGATTAAGAACTGTAATATAAAGGCAAGAAAAAAATTAGCATTTAGGCAAAACGTTATTTGATAGACTTAAATTTTTCTTATTCTCTCTCCAGAACAGAATACGTATCACAGCAAGAGTTTCAATGGGTGGTCTAAGAAAAAACCTGTACTAGAATACATGCTGGAGTGCTGACATGCATCAAAACGTAGTAGGATATATGAATTCAGTTGACAGTTATAATTTTGTCAAGCTTGTTATATTTTAGCATTACTTAGAAAGCCTAAATTACATTAAATCCCAAGGGATAGTCCCAATTATTTCATTAAACTGATGCTTTCATAGGGAATTTTGCTCTGATAGTGATCAGTCACTGGGGCTTGTAATTTATTTTCTACAGAGAATACTGAAATAGGTTTAGAGGTTCACAAACAAAAAGATATTTATTAAATACTGTGATTTGCTAATACCATCGGTAAAGTAGAATTTCCCTATGAAAACAAAAGCTTCTGTAAGGAATTGAATTGGGGGTTGTTATTAATATTTATTTTAATTGCTTGCTGTTTAATTTCACTACTGTCTTTTGAGTGGAGAAAAACGGGCAGCTATCTCCTTAAAATGTTTATGACTGGATTTTATCCTCAGATATTACTGTATTTAATGGTTGTATAAATGTAGGAATGTTATTTTTGGAGGGACAGTTTACATGCTTTTGTAGCCAAATATCTCAGAGTTCAAGCTTGAATAAATATAAAATGGAATAGACAGAATTTTCCGTGTTATTTCAGGAAATTGGGGCAGGGGCAGACAGGATCAGTTTAAATCCCATTTCAGGTTACCTTTTTTGCCTTGTTGACGTGAGAAACATCTTGAGATAAATTTGTAGGTATACGCATTTAAACAGTTTTGTTTGGAGAGTTCTCTAAAAGTCTAATTTTGAGGATTTCAAAAAAGTTAATATCTTTATTTTCAAAGTCATATTCATTGGACTTACTGTTTTGTAGCTAAGTGAACAGTTAAAAGCCTTTATTGTTATTTAAAATACCATATGCATGACTACTTCCATTTTTCTCTTGGAAGATTTTCCTCTAGGATCCCCTGCTTCACGTGATAAAATCCTGATGAACTTAAGATACTGGTGGAAGGATTTATTCTGTTTTTTCAGTTAACTCGGCCCTGACTAGGTGACTTAAACTGAAAATCTTTTCAGAGTATTACTAGTAAATATAAATAGGATATTTTTGGGTGTAGGTGATCACCTTGTTTATCATTATATAAAGTTATAGAAATAAATCTGAACTCCTAGGGATTAAGAAGTTACGTGTTTAGCCATAAACCAAAGAACAAAAGCAACCAAAAACTTAAGTTTTAGGCAACTTTACCATGAACTAAATATTCTAGAAATCTGATTGTGTCTGTACCAGTTTGTGTACTCTGTGTAAGAATATATGCATTTCTCTTGTAGCCACGTCATGAATATTTTAATGTCCCTGTGTACTAAATGACTACTCATCAAGTATGCAGAATTTCCCAGAGGAAATAAGAGAGCTGATATACTTATGAAAGAAAATGTCCTCAGCATGGTGACGGGTTGTCATGTAAAATAATCATACAACATTTCAGAACTAATATCTTACAATTGTATTTTTTCGTTGGTAATTTTCTTTCCTGTTTTCAATCTATATGTGATCTTGATATAGCTTATTCCTGTCCACAACTGGTTTAATTTCTTCTTCACAAAATATGTCCTATGTACTTTTATCTCAGACACATACACACATATCTGTGATTAATCTTGTAAGAGAAAAACACAGCAATCGTTAATGTTACCAAAGAAAATATGGCTGAAGGGCTCCATCAAAATAAGCAATGCCATAATACTGAGAGTGGCTTGTTGTTCAACTGTTGAAGAAAACAACTATATTTAGTGTGATTATTTTATAGTCTATATAAGTTGATGTTATTTAATGCTTTGTTAACTATAGTTTTATATTTCTGAATACTAAAACCTTTAACATCTATCACTATTGTGTATGCTTTTAATAAAACATATAGCATATTTTATTGTAAAAGAAAAAGTACCAAATAATTCATTGTTTGTATCTACAGAATTTAAGGCCTGAGTTAAGTAAGTTGTCATTAAACAGTAGCTTCAGAAATTACCCAATCTGGTTTGCCACTGGAAGACTTACAAAAATGTGTTGTGTGTTAGGCAGGTGTACAAATCAGTTATTTCCATTCTTACCATTCTTGTTTGTAAGACACTACATTCAAAGCACTGGGAAACATGGGTCTTTCATTTCCTTTTCTCCCCCTCCATCCCTCCCCTTGCCCTGCACTATGTTGTTCATCTGGTTTTAATGCTGCATAAATATGCATTGTCTCATGCCTGTTTGCTTTGGATGCTGTGTGCTAAGTTGTAACAAAATGTTGCTTCTTTCGTTATCTGTATACAGCTGCTTGCTTTAAATTAGTAGATTCTGAAATACCTTTTCTTGCATGTCTAAAATAAAAGTATTGCATGTACTTCATCTCATGTGAATGACTTTTTTCTCCATCCTTTTTGATAAAATAACATTTTATATTTTCATTTTTCTAGGTATTTTTTAAATTGTGGTAAACACATAACATAGAATTCACCATTTTAACCATTTCTCAGTGTATTTAATAGTGCTAAGTATATTCACATTGTTGTGCAGCAGATCTCCAAAACTTTTTCATCTTACAAAACTGAAACTCTACCCATAAATCAACCATTCTCCATTTCTCTCTTCCCCAGGCCCTGGTAACCACCATTCTTTCTGTTGGTATCATTTTTACTACTTTAGATAATAGTTTTTCTAGACAATTTGTAGCTACAGTTTTAGTATGAACATGTGAAAATTACATTTTATATTGTAAACAATTTGTAAAAAATTCTACTTATATAGCCTTAAAGAAATAAAATGTGTAAATGAAACTAGGCCTTTTAGAAAGGACAAATTTTAAATAATGTATATTTAAAAAGAAACCTGATTCTCATCAGGAAATGGTATATAAAAGACTTCAGGCAGTGAGCACGCACATAGGGGAAATGTGATCAGATCCGGGGAATAGTTGTGAGCTATTTTTACCTAAAGAAGCTGAAAATGCAATACAGAATTCAGTGTAGAAGTCTTTTAATTAACATATTAAAGGTTAAATGAAGTTTTCTTCTTTTTAATATGTATGTGACTAAGATGTCACTTAGTGTATTAAAGAAGGCTAGACATTGTAAATGGCAAAGACTGGCATATATCACTATTGGGAGTATTGTATCATTTCCACTAGGCTCTCTTTAAATCCTGAAAACATGAAAATTTCAAGACACAAATATGGGCGAGTACTACAAAGAATCTTCTTATATATGCCACTCACCGTCAACAACCATCCACTTACTGCTGCTTCCTCAAGCACACTTCCCTCCAGTTTTCCTGCAGAATTTGAGCAAGCCCTAGACATCCTGTTATTTTCATTTTTTTTATATTATTAATTTTATTGGTACATTTTAGGTATACAATATAATGACATTCATCATTGGGAATGTGCACCTTTACATACTCTTTGTTTTCATTTTTGATACTAAAGTATGTGTCCCTAACAGATAAGTAGCATACCCAACAAAATGAATTAATTCTACAATCTTATGCCAGGCTCAGTTTATCCTAATTGTCTGAAAAAAATGCCTTTTAAAAATTTATTAGAACCAGATTCCAAATAAGGCTCACATTATATCTCATTGATGTGTCCTAAGTCTTTTGAATTTTCAACAAGCCTTTTGTTTTTTTTCCCCTTGCTATTTTTTTATGCATGATTTATGCCATACAATTTATGGATCATTTATGCCATACAATTTTCTACATTCTGTGTTTGGCTGATTATATTCTTGGGACTCAGGACCTCCTGTGTGAGAGGCAGGCACTGTGCCATTGAGCTAAATCCCCGCCCCCTTCACCCATTTTTCATTACTACACATGCTAACAGGTCATCATTTGAACTTTTTTGGTTATAGTACTTGAATTCAGTACTAAATACTAAATACCTTCATTTAGATTTCAGATGTGTAACTTTATCAGCTAATATTTTTTGAAGCACTTCCTGTAAATCAGGCAATGAACCTTTATCTCAATTAATATCAACATATGAAGGTAAGTACTATTCTTGTTTTCCAAATATGGAAACAGACCATGGAGCTTTGAGTAATTGAAGATGATACCATAATGTGCCTTACATACAATTAAATCTAATGTTCTGAGGATTTATGATTTAACATAATTTTTCTTTTCCTTGTTTTGTGCTGTACCACAATTAGGATGCAAAAGTAAGTTTATATTGGCTACCAAAAATTTACATTGTTTTCTTCCCCTAAAATATAGTGTTGCCTTTTTATTACAAAATTGCTAGTAACACCTAAAGCTGACCTACTTGGTCCCTTTTTATTCTGTGAGGTGCAAAATTAGCCATTTTGGAAAGTTTTTTAAAGAACAATTTTTACAGGTGTAGCTGCTTTGTCTTTTGATATTTAAAAACTAGGGGCCGGGGATTTAGCTCAGTAGTGCCACTGCCTGCCTTAAACACAAGGTCCTGAGTTCGATCCCCGGTACGAAAAAAACTAGTACTGGTTGTTTAGATAAGTCAACAATGCCTTTTGTCCCAGAGTATTTAGGGAGGTCTGGGAAGGTGGCTGTCTCCAAAGACAGTTAATTAAAAATTCCAAGAGGAAGATATTTCTATAAATACATGTGACCATTTTTTAAAGCATGGAAAACATTAGGTGAGACAATGGAAACTGGGCTGGGTTGGAAAAGGGGTGTTCCTTGCTTTTTATTTGGAAGTTTTGAATTTTAACACTAAGATAATCTTTTCTATAGGGCATATGATGAGTAGCAATGATTTCATACATTGCTAGTGATTTTACATTGGGCTTGACTGCTTTTTGTTATAGTAGTGGTGCCCAGCACATGGGTAGGTAATCAGTAGGTATTTAATGAATGCTGAAAATAGCCTTCTGTGGACTCCAGTGTTTTGGGCACAAAACACTGAATGACGACTGGCTGTCAATGGTAGAATGCTTCCATGACACTGAATTGCTCTTTAATTCTCTAAAACCAGCATGTTCTTCATGCCAGTTTTTCACATTCTTAAGACTCCCTCCCTGGATCTGCTTACCAGAGTTTCACATTTTTCCTCCACAGGAAGCTGAAACCCCACGTAGTGTTCTTGAAGAAATTGGACTGACATAACTCTCCTCCCTTGTTGCTGACTCCTGTGGCATTTCACACACTGTAGATGGTCACTGCCTTCATGTCCATGTTAGCTAATGGTGTAAAATGATGTCTTGTCAGTATTACTGTTTTGCTAAGCTGCTTCATTCAGGCCTATACAATTTTTTTTTTAAGGGAATTTTGGTTAATCAAATGATAAGGGACTTCATATAAATATGAATTAGAAAGATAACTCTTCTGGATATTTTAAAAGGTTATAGGTCAGTTTCTCAATGATTATGTGCATATATGAAAATGACATCTGTATAAATGTATATCAAACAATTTGACAATATGCATTTATTAATTACTGTATTTGACAAAGGAAACTTAAATTATAATGTGAAACTTGGTTTTATGAAACCAAAGACTAGTGCAGCATTTTATTATATGTAGTACAAATAAAGGGAATTAACATGTCACATGGAATGAAAATTTAATGTTAAAACTTTAACCAAAAAACAAGAACAAAAAAAATCAAAAAAAATTTACACCAAAGACCCTTATTGGACTCTACATACTTTAAAACAAAGGGAATAGAGACTATTTTAGATGAGTAAATTGGATTGATGCTGTTTTACACTGAAACTATGTCCTAAACATTCTGAGTGAATGGGACAAGGGACAAAGACTGCTTCGTGTTAGTGAGCACATAATTTTTAAGGCCAAGGCACATTTGACTCCTGAGATGAATTTTTTGTGGTCCTAATCAGTTATTTGGTTGGATTGTTTTTGATGCCCCCAAATAAAGTGGGGATGTAAAATGACCACAGATTTTCC